AGCGGCAAGCAGGGCCACACACACCAGCACAATGACCGCCACCACCACCCCGCTCTGTATGCGTGTCAGGCCCCACCACCCCCTCTCCTCTTCCTCCACCTCCTTCTCCTCCTGTGGGGAGACTGCCAGCCCCGTGGGGGTCTCCGTCCAGGCACTCTCTGGCAATGCCTCTTCGGAGGGGCGAATGGGAAGTGGGGTGCTGGGATGGGGGGAGGCAGCGGGGGACCAGGGGGTGAGAAGCTGGTCCTGCAGCAGCCCAGCGATAGGGGTGCCCCGCAGGGCGGGAGGCTGGGCGCAGAGGGGGGGTGTCTCGCCCACCTTGTGGAGGTTGTCCTCCAGCCAGCCCCGCAGGGGCAGGATGCCCTTGTCGCAGCGCCAGGAGTTGTTGTGCAGCTTCACCTCTCGCAGGGTGGCCAGCGGGGAGAAGATGCCAGTGGGCAGGTACTCCAGGGCGTTGGAGTGCAGCTGCAGGTCCCGCAGCCCCGGGGTGGCCCCAAAGAGGCCCCGTGGCAGTGTCTGCAGCTGGTTGTGGTGCAGGGAGAAGTTCTGCAGCTTGGGCAGCCCCTCCAGTGCCCGGGCATCCAGGCGGCGTAGGGCATTGGAGTGCAGCGACAGCTCCAGCAGCTCCCCCAAGCCCCGGAAAGTGCCGGGTGCCACCGAGCGCAGCTGGTTCTTGCTGAGGACCAGGAGCTGCAGCTGGGTGAGGTTGCTGAAGACGGCAGCAGGGAGGGTGGAAAGCTCATTCTCATAGAGCCACAGCTCCCGCAGGTTGGGCATGGGTCCAAAGGCACCGGGGGAGATGTCCTGCAGGCGGTTGACGTACAGGGTGATCTTGGTGAGGGCATGCAGGGGCAAGAAGATGCCGCTCGGCAGGGTGGTGAGGAGGTTGTTGGACAGGTAGAGCTTCTGCAGGTTCCCATTGTGCACGAAAAGCTCCGGGGACAGTGTCTCCAGCTGGTTCCGGTGCAGCCCCAGTTCCTGCAGCTCCGGCAGCCCCGCCAACGG